GGGATCGCTGCGGAGGGGGTGTGGTGATCCGTGCCATGCCATGCCGTGCCGTGCCATGCCACGCTCTCCATGGCAGGCAGAGGACGTGGGGTGCCTGTTCCCCGGAGGAATTGTGTCGCCAGTGGCCAGACACAGCTGTGTGACACAGCCGGTGGCACGATGCCACCGAGCAGGTCCCTGGGCAGGGAGCACAGCCCCCGTGTCCATGTGGGAATGACTCACGGAGGGCAGGGGGTGGGTGAGCAGACCTCGGTGGGGTGTCCTGGGAGGGGTCCTTGTCTTGGCACCCGAGTCCCCACGGCTGTACCCCTCAGGGGATTGTCCTGATGTCCCTTCAGGGTCCTTGGCACCGAGCTGGGGGGGGGGGCTGGGGGTCAGGTGGGGTCACTGAGCAGCCCCCTGGTACGTTTCCTTCCCCTCTGCTTTGGCCCCCACGTGCCGCGTGCTGGGTTGAGCCATCCCTGTCCCTGTCCTGTCCCTGTCCCTGTCCCTGTCCCTGTCCCGGCACACAGGTCCCATCCCACGCGCCCCCATGGACAGGTAAGAGGGGACCAGGAACGCCCTGGTGAGGGCTGAGCCGCCGGCCTTGGTGGGAGTGAAGGAGCTTTGGGAATGTGAGGGAAAACGCCCCCAGCCGCGGTTCCTGTGAGGCTGAGCACTGCCGAACTCATCACTGCCATGGCAGGGGTAGGGGGGCTTTGGGGGCAGGGAGGGGGATGAAGCCACTGGTGGGGGCTTTTCCCGCCCCCCAGGGCAGGAGCACTTGGGCACAGGGCTCTGCTGGGCTTTGCTCCTTATCCTTCATCCCAGTGCCTGCCCCAGTCCTTCCTTCCTTTCCTTCCTTCCTTTCCTTCCTTCCTTCCTTTCCTTCCTTCCTTCCTTCCTTCCTTCCTTCCTTCCTTCCTTCCTTCCTTCCTTCCTCCCTTCCTCCCTCCCTCTCTTCCTCCTTTCTTCTCTCCCTGCCTTCCTTCTTTTCTTCCCTTCCTTCCCTTCCGTCCCTCCATCCCACCCCCCATGGACACCCCATTCCCGTGGTGATGTGGGACACTGGATGTCACCATTGGGACACCCCGATGAAGCTCCACCCCGGGTCAAGGATGATGTGATGTCCCCAGTGCCACCGGGTGCCCAGGGATGGACAGGTGGCACTGGGTGACAACCCCGTGGGACAGGACACCCTACCCTGTGTCCCATGGGCAGGACACTGCCTGGGGACAGTGCCAGCCCCATGGGATGGGACAGGAGTCCCCCAAGCTGGCAAGGGGACACCTTGCCCTGTGTCCCATGTGGAGCTGGGGACAGTGCCAGCCCTGTGGGATAGGACAGCAGCCCCTCTAGTTGGTAAGGGGACGTTGTGCCCGGTGTCCCACGGGGAGGGCACTACCCTGGGGACAGTGCCAGTCCTGTAGGATTGGACAGCAGCTCCCTAAGATGGCAAGGGAACACCCTGCCCTGTGTCCCACGGGGAGGGCACTACCCTGGGGACAGTGCCAGCCCCGTGGGAATGGACAGCAGCCCCCCCAGGGCTGGTGAGGGGACACCCTGCCCTGTGTCCCGTGAGGAGGACGCTGCCCTGGGGACACGCCATGCGCGGAGGGCACAGTGCCAGCCCTGCCAGCCGGGCTGAGCCCCTTCCCCTCCCCTCTCCGTGCAGGGTCCCGGCCCTCCCAGTCAAGAACCTGAACGGCACCGGCCCCGTCCATCCCGCCCTCGCAGGTAAGGGCGGTCCGGCCGCCGGCTGCGTGTCACCGCCGGGTGACATCGCGGGCAGGGCACGGGGCCGGGCCGCTGCCAGGCGGCGGGAAGGACGGACGGACGGACAGACAGCCCCTTTCCCCGGCGCAGGGATGACGGGGATCCTCATGTGCGCCGCCGGGCTGCCCGTGTGCCTGACCCGCGCCCCCAAACCCATCCTGCACCCGCCGCCCGTCAGCAAGAGCGACATCAAACCTGTGCCCGGAGTCAACGGCATCTGCAGGAAAACCAAGAAGAAGCAGCTCAAGAA